ATTGATTTATTTGTTTGTTTGTTTATTTATTTATTTTAAAGAAAAGAACAATGGCCCAGCCCTGGCCAGTGTCACTCAGTTGGTTGAGCGTCATCCCATGCACCAGAAGATTGCCAGTTCATTAGGGCACATACCTGATTACAGGCTCAATCCCCAGTAGGGGGCGTGCAAGAGGCAGCCGATGGAAGTTTCCCACATCAATGTTTCTCTTTTTTATCTGGAAGTGTCTTAACACATAGTCACTTATGTCCCATCCTCCCTAAAAAATCAACAAAAACCTTTTTGTTTTTAAAGAACAATGGCCCAGGCATTGTGAGTGCCCCAGGGATCTCCGTTGCCATAGCAGCATAGCCCATATCATTCCTCCCAACCTGATGGCAGAGGAGAGGCACAGGATGCTATCTTTCTGTTTCCTCAACTCCGATGCAGAGCTGCCGGCTCCCTACATCCTCCAGGAAGTACGGGTCTCCATCATAAACAACTCCAGGTGTAATGACCTGTTCCAACAGCCCAATTTCTTCTATAGACTGGCAGATGACGTGATTTGTGCTGGCTCTGAGGATGGCAAACATGACGCCTGCGAAGTGAGTGCCCCTGCCCCAGTCAGAGCCTTGCTGGAAACAGGCCCTGCCCCTCTCAACCTTGGGCCTGAGAGCAACCCCCATGACCAGTCTACCCTCAGAGTTGGTTAATGAGGAAGTGATTTCGCCCTTACTTACCTGCCTATAAAAGCTCGTTTTGCATTAGCAGTATCTCTTTGGATCCTCATGTGGGTAGTGACTTTTGCCCCTCTTTGCAGATGCGGAAACTGAGGCTTGGCCACTTCCGGGGGGAGGAGTAGGATTTGCACCTAGTTTGCCCAGCTCCATAGCCCCTCCTGTTCTGGGGCCTCCCCATGGGCCCCTCCTGCCCCAGACCAGGCTCACCAATGCTGCTCCCCAGGGTGACTCAGGCGGACCCTTGACCTGTGAAAAGAACGGACTGTGGACTCAGATTGGAATCGTGAGCTGGGGAATAGGCTGTGGCCGGCCCAACCGACCCGGTGTCTACACCAACATCAGTAGATACTTCAGCTGGATCCAGAAGCTCACGGCCTACAGCACACCCAGGCCAGACCCCTTCCCACTACTGCTGCTCCTCCCTCTGCTCTGGGCTGCCCCACTCGTGTAGCTGACCTGCACAGCTGGCCCTGTAAGGGTGCAGGAGTTACCACAGCACTGGGCACATTCACCCAGGGCTGTGGACACCCCTGGACTGTCTGCTGGATCAGGCTCTGGCCCCTTCTGTCTCCTTTGCTAATAAACGTGTGCATTTTCATTGATTCCTTGCAGAGTATTTTGTGGACTTGGGTGGCTTCCTGGACACTCTCATAGTCACTTATGTCCCATCCTCTCCAAGACCACTCCCTAATTCCTAATTCTTCTCTGCTGATCTGCACTATACACATTTTGGTTGCAAACAGGAGAACCCTCACAGGTTAGTGCAATCAGAAAGAATTTGTGGAAGGACGTTAGTAGCACTAGGGGGCTAGGAAGACTGGAGTGGGGTATTGTGGAGGACATGCCCCCGAACACCCCAGTGCTCATCACACAGATATCAGCTGCTCCTGGTCTTAATGCGGTTGGCCCCCCAAAGGCTGACCTGGGATTCGGACTGGGGTGCGGGTAGTTTATTTAGGAGGCGATACCAAGAAGCGCCAGTGAGGAGGGGGGACACTGAAGCAGGGAAGGAAGAACCCCATGACGTTTGCCTGAATGAGGAGGGTACTGAGGCGCAGTCCTGCTGGGCCCCTGGAGAAACCGCAGGCTCCTGGAGGACAAGGATGCTGTGTGTGGGCACTTCTCTCCTGACCCCACAGGTTGAGGGCTGTCCTGGTGGCATGGGTGCTCCAAGGTAAAGGAGGTCCCGGTGAGGACGCCAGTGCCTCAGGAGCTGCTGCAGCACCACAAGGTGGCCTGGTGGAGGCGGGCAGCACCAAGTGTGTCCCAGAACTCAGCCTCAGCATGACCAGGGATCCGGCCAGTCGTGGGGCCCATTCAGGGGCACCTGGAACCGCTCAGGCAGATCTGCGTTTTCACAAGATTCCCAAGTGCTGTGAGCTCAAGACGTGTGAGGAGCTATGGTTGGTCTAGATTTCTTCCCTCGGCTCCCCTACAGTTCCCTGCTGTGGAGAGGCAGGTGTGGGAGTCTTCAGAGGGCAGACCTTCCTGGTTTCTGCCCCACACCTGCCAGCAGTGCAGTTGTGTAGGGCCGTGGTCGGCAAACTGCGGCTCGCGAGCCACATGCGGCTCTTTGGCCCCTTGAGTGTGGCTCTTCCTAAGCCTTAGGAGTACCCTAGTTAAGTTAATAACAATGTACCTACCTATATAGTTTAAGTTTAAAAAATTTGGCTCTCAAAAGAAATTTCAATCGTTGTACTGTTGATATTTGGCTCTGTCGACTAATGAGTTTGCCGACCACTGCTCTAGGTGCATGGGATGATGCTCAACCACTGAGCCACACTGGCCAGGCAGTAAAAAACATATTTTTTTTAAAAAAAAGAAAGAAAAACACTTGAAATGTATAGAGAGGAAATTGAAGAAACACCCCCAACCCCCCCCACACCCCAGCCACAAAGAGGAAACTGATGCTCAGTGAGGGGACAGGACTGCTGGAGTCACCCAGCTCACAAGGGCCCGGGTCTAGAGAGCACTTGCCAGGCCTGGGGTCTGGGCTCCATGTTGGGCCCGCCAAGCCGGAACTGGGTGCCTCAGCAGCCAGCCCTGTCAGGAGCCTGGGGCCTGGTCAGGTTTGGAGGAGAGCTGCCAAGGATCCTCTGGAGCTTCCTGGCCTGACCGCAGTCCCCCTCCTCCCCCCACCTCACTGCCCTTGCTTGGCTGGGCTCCTGCTCCCCGTTTCCAGCACCTTGGCCCAAACCAGACTTCTTTTGAGAATTGCAGGTGTCCCTTTCCTGCCACCTTGAAAGTGCTGCTCAAAGCATCTTTGTTTGAGGCTGGACAGGTGAAGCCGCAGCCCCTCCCTGGTCTCCTTAATTACCCCTGGCAGGGCCCGCCCCCTCCTGGCCTTTTAAGCCCCCACATACTCCGTCAGCCCAGTCAGCTGGGAGGGACCAGGCTACCAGGGTGAGAGCGGGGTCCAGGGGCTGGCAGGGTGGGTGGGGGCAGCAGTTGGGCAATGGAAATAGAGGGTGGGGTGGGGCTTGCCTGGAGGCTTAGGGTGCCCAAGTCTCAAAGGGGTTGGGGGCAAGGGTGTTCCCTGGGGCGTGGAAGCAGACAGAGCCTGGGCCATGGGCGTAAGCCTGAGACTAACTGGGGGCTGAGGGAAGACAGAACGGCCGCTGGGACACGAGTGCTCTGGGCTAGGACCCTCCTTCCTCTCTCTGCAGAGTCTAAGCCCTGGGCAGGGCCACCTTTACCCAGCACAGTCCTAGAGACAGAATGAGGGGGGCTTCCCGCCCCCCGGTACTGCTCCTGCTGCTGCTACGTGAGTGTGGGACAGGGGCTACGGGTGCTGACCACAGGGACCTTGGCTACCAGATGTCCCATCTCACCCCTCTCTGGCCTGGTTCCCATAGAGCACACCAGGGCAATCTAATCTTGGCTTCAAGGGTTCAGGTTCTCTCTGTCACTGACCTTGGGCTCTCCAAACCTGGATGTGCTGCTGTCTTCGCAATGGGTATAAGTCCCCACCTCACAGTGCTTCGGGGAAGGTTAAATTGGGTAACCAGTTGGACGTAATCCCGGCACCAGGTTAATGCAACAGATTTGTTCCACCTTCCTTATCTGTAACCTCCCTTCCCCTCGCTCCGTTATCTGATACCAAATCCATAATCCAGTGCCTTCCCTACTTCCTCTTCCAGGAGTGGCGGGGACACTGGAGTCTGCAGGTTAGGAAGCCTCGGGTCCGCCTCCCCACCCCACCCCACCCGCACCCCCAT